TATATCTGAAATGTGTGTCAATTCTATTAGAGTATGGCGGCAGATCTCAGTGTACATGGAGAGAGGAGAATTTAGGTCTATGTTGAGCCCAGTTTATCTGAATCAGGATTTTGACCCTGGTATTTTTCCCCATTCTTCAAAGCATGGCACATAAAGTGGATTCGCGTGGTGGGGGACCGTTGTTCCAGGATGGTTCCCTAATGTCCTTTCAGCAATTACGACAGAGGTTTGATGTTTGATCTCCCTAAGGAACATTATATTGGGTGTATACAAATTCAGCATTACATCATTTCAGAGCAGAGATCTCTGTCGGATATGCCTCTACCCGGCGACTTAGAGGGTTTATTTATCAATACAAGTAATGCTGCTCATTTTATATCTAGGTTGTATTCTTATTTATACTCCCATATCCCAGGACTTTTGAATACGGTAGCTTGCAAATACAAGATACAATACAATACAAGATACTACACAGGTTATATATAATGCCAGTTATAATGAATAAAACTGATCGTAGCATATCGGCTGTCTGCGTGAAATGCCATGCAGACTTAGGAAGTTACTCTCACTGTGTCTGGAAGTGCAAATATATCTCCAGGTTTTGGAGATTTACTGCTTGTAACATCAGCACCATTCTTCAGATAAAGCTGAAAAAGGAGCCTGGTCTCTTTCTTTTGGGGCTTCCTTCCAAAACGCGTGCAGTAACACTGACGGACGCAGACGATGCAATGTTTCTCTTGTTCTTGTTGTTAAATACAAAATGCAAGATGATCATTTTTACCTTCATTTTAGCTTCATTTCATCAAGTACATCCTATGGGACGGGGTGTATTGTCTAGCACGTAGGCTTATAATTTAGTTAGGTATATTGTGCTGCTCAAAAACATGCTGGTAGGTGGGTGAGTGAGTGTGTGAAGGTGTGTGTGTGCACAGTGCCCTGTGGTGGACTAACCTCCAATCCAGGGTGTATTCCTGCCTTGTGCCCAGTGTTGAAGGGATAGGCTCCAGATCCACTGCGACCCTGACCAGGATAAAGCACTTACTAGGCATGAATGAATGAATGAATGAATGAATGAATATACAGTATTCTTTTTCTATATAAGATATTCGAATCGCCTGTTTTGGTTATTAGTTTCCTCTGCATAGACTGATTTGGTCCTATTTGAATGAATATGACCAAAAAATTGTATACTGAATTGTTTTACAGTACTCATTACAGCTTATCACAATTGGTGTGAATTATATTGCAGTAATTGTCACTATACTGTATTTTACTGTAAAATATAAAAGGTATAGTGTAGGGTCCCTGGAGGAAGAGTGGTTAGGCCACAGCACTCTCAAAGCTGCGGCTCGGGTTTGATTCCCGGCCAGGAAGCCAACCCCAGCCACTGGGGTTGCGTGCAACAGTGTGCTCTCAATGCCAGTCCCAAGCCTGGATAAAATTGGGGAAGGCATCTGGTGTAAAAACTCAAATACTCAACTCAAATACGCCGACTCATGATCCGCTTTGGCGACCCCTAACAGGAGCAGCTGAAAGAGGAACAGCAACATACAAGGCATAGTGGCACATCGACTTCTGGTCTGACACTGCCCCCTGCCGGACCCACTTGTAATTTCAGCAGTGTATTAGTAGTGCTTGCTGTGGTGTTGGCAGAGGTAAACAAACACAAATGTGGGAGATATGGGGTTTTATACATAGCAGTAAAGTCAAAGCAAGTCATATCAAAGAGTTACTTTCAGGTGTTTCATTCGATTTACTTACATTTTAATATGACTAAATATGACACTTCTGCTTTTACCTACATCTAAGCTCACCTGCTGCTGAGTTTGTTGTTATTTTTTCCCCATTCAGCATAAAAATCTTGGCAAGTGTTCATCAGTTTTCCCTTATTTACCTTTTCAGAAAACTTTTCTTAGAATTTAGCAGTTCTGAAATTGCCTTTTGACTGAAAAGCTTTTCATTACCTCAGTTTGGAGCAACCGTACAAATTCACCCGTAAATACAAGTGAATACGAATGAATATGAGTAGTGAAGGCTAGGACGAATGTTTCAGCTCAGAGACTAGAGTGGCTGGGAAGATCACGGGGGAGTCTGTCAATCATTTTCTCCATCAGTTAATTATGGTTATGCCCATCAATCGCATGATGCAAGCTGTTTTTTTGTTTGTTCTGTCTTTCATCAGCCAGCCTAATTATATAAACACCATACAAGTCTCTGCATTTTGCAGATTAAACCCATTGCAGATTAAACAACTATGAATATATAACAATATATATCTCTATCTATCTATCTATCTAT